AAGGATTGAGTGGCGGAAATGGAAAAAACAGAGTAAGTGGCGCTTGGGGGTGGTATCTGTGCCGCCTCCCCCCAGACTCACCTGAGCCACGGGGAAAGTCGGTGGCTCTGTGCATCCCTGTTTGGTCCCACAGCAACCCAACGTGAGGAGGAAGGGGCCACGCCCCCTGGGGAGGCTTCTCTTGGCTGCTCCCCCAGCCCCTCCTGGCCCCCTCTCCTCCACCAAGCAAGGTGTCCTGGTTCTCTTATTCAGAGAAAGAGGAGCAAAAGAAATGGAAAGACGCCAAGATGGTGAAGAAACTAGAGCGGCAGCGGGCACAGGAGGAGCAGGCCAGGCTCCAGGAGGAGCAGGAGGCTGCTCTGCAGAGAGAGGACCAAGGTGAGAGCCGCCTCTGCCCGGTGGACAGGGCAGATGATCCCATAGCTGGAAGGGAGGGGCACTAGACCAACGAGCACCGACCTCTGGTACCGAAGGAGAAATTGAGACTCAGAAAAGAGGAGGAGTTTGCCCCAAGTAGCAGCAAATTGAGCCCTGACTTCCTCAAAACTCAGCTCACTGCCATCGAGTTAATGCCAACTCCTAACGACCCTACAGGACAGGGTAGAACTGCTCCCCTGCGGTTTCCGAGATGGCAGTTTACAGGAGTAGAAAGCCCAGGTGGTTTTGAACTGCTGACCTTTCGGGTCACAGCCCAACATGTGCCTAACATGCACCCACTCTGCTACCAGGGCTCCTCTAACTAGTTAGTGATGTTTCTTTTGCCAGATTCATTTATCTTGAAATGGTAGCAACCATAGCTGTATGCCTCCGGGTACCAAGCAATTCAGCGTTTTCAGATAAGAATGTTATGACTTTGCTCTGCTCCCTGGGCATTCTGTGAGCAGCCCTGGTCGTACTTCACATGGGTCCCATGTCCCATGGGCCACATGGGTCCCCAGGTGTTACTATTGAAGACTTACAGTCACACACAACAGTGAAAAATGCCTGAGAACCAACCGACGGAGATCACCTTGTACTGAAACACTTGCGTAAGAGGCCCTGCTGGCTTCAAATCCGTGCTGCTCAAAGTGGGCTGCATCGCACGGTGCCTGCTTCTGGCGCTACTGGGTCCATTTCACACATAAGATCTGCGATCTGGCTCTTTGACGCTGGTTGTGGGTGCTGTCAACTCCCAGCGGTCCCATGTGACAGCGGCAGCTGTAGGTTTTTCTGGGCTATGATCTTTCACGGAAGCAGATCACCTCTTTCTCCCCTGTGCTTGGGTGGGGCCAGACTGGTGACCTTTCAGCTAGTAAGGAGCCCAGGTGGTAGAGTAGTGATGAGTTGGGCTACGATTCACTGGGTCCACAGTTCAAATCCACCAGCTTCTTGGGAGCTTCCTACTCCGTAAACAGTTACAGTTTCAGAAACTCAACAGGTCCATGAGTCAGCAGTGACTCAATGGCAGCGAGATGGGGGGAGAGGGGGGCGTCCCCTTAGTACTCAAGTCTTTAACCAGTCACTTTTGTAATAGTCTCACTAATTAGTTTAAAAGATATTAGCTCGCAGGACCTTCGTTTTACGGCGGGCAGTAAGGGATGGTGCCATTAGGTGAAATTAGGTTGATTTTGTAGATGTCAAATTCTGTGCCCTGGGGGCACAGGCGGGAGGTATGGGTGGGTCTCTGGCCTCCCGCCCACTGATTGCCCCTTCCCTGCCCAGGGCGGCCTTACACCCTGAGTGTGGCCCTGCCGGGTTCCATCCTGGACAATGCCCAGTCACCGGAGCTTCGCACCTACCTAGCTGGCCAGATTGCCAGAGCCTGCGCCATTTTCTGCGTGGATGAGATCGTGGTGTTTGATGAAGAGGGCCATGATGCCAAGTAAGGACCCACCCACAGAGCGCCAGGTCTCAAGCTGTGCCTTCATCTTTGGGCCCCCCCACCCAACGTACCCGAAAAGCCCGAATTGTAATCACCGGCAGGCAGGGTTGGGAGGCAGGGGCACTGGTTGGGGTGGTGGTGGCGGGAGGTTGGACCGCGTAGGCGGAGCCTGAAGGAAATGCGGTGGACTCTCTCTTTCTAGGACTGTGGAGGGGGAATTCATGGGCATCGGCAAGAAGGGGCAGGCGTGTGTGCAGCTGGCCCGTATCCTGCAGTACCTGGAGTGCCCACAGTAAGGGGCTGGGAGCGAGGTGCCCAAGCATGAGAGAGGGGTGGCCAGGCCAGCTCCTCCCAGGGGCCTCCCGAAACCGACCTTCCTTTGTAGGTACCTGAGAAAGGCCTTCTTCCCCAAGCACCAGGATCTACAGTTTGCAGGTGAGCTGGGTGGGCCTTGGCCCCCTGTGCTGTGCCTGGTCCCTGCCCCACCTTGGGAAAACAAGTCTGAAGGGGGTGAGACCTGTGCTCCCTGTTCTTTAGCATCACCCAGACTCCTCCTGGGTCCTGCCCCCACCCCGCCCCCACTTGCAGGGCTGCTGAACCCCCTGGACAGCCCTCACCACATGCGGCAGGATGAGGAATCCCAGTTCCGGGAAGGCATCGTGCTGGACCGCCCCACACGGCCAGGCCACGGCTCCTTTGTCAACTGTGGGATGAAGAAGGTAGGGGCGCAGCTGGCGGGGCACGTGGCTAGGGCGGCCTGGGCCCACGTTCCTCTACCTGTGAGGCCCCTGTGCAACCCCCAGATGTGGGCCCGAGAAGGGTCGGTAAGATGCAGCCGAGACTGAACTTGGGGCTGCTGGAGAAGGCACAGCAATAGAGGGTGGTCTTCCCCTAAACAATGACGGGGAAAATCACAGCTGCTTTTGTGTGATGAAGAGCCAAGCTGGGGGCTTAGAGACGTTCGATTCCCCGCGGTTGCCTCGAGCCTCCTGGGGTCAGAAGCAGGAACGTTTAATATGTGGAATCCGCTCCTCGCGGAGTAAGCGGACCAGGACCAGCCGGCTAAGAGAAGCCGGACAGCACAGGCACGCACGGAAAAGTGGGCGACCCTCACGTGGGGAAGCTGAGAAATTCCAAAAGCTCCCCATGGACTGTTCTCGCTCCCGCTCACAGCTCCCGGGGTTAAGCCCTTCTCGACACCAGGAGCCGGGCAGGGTAGCAGCGGCTCTCCTTTACGGCAAGTCTTTTTTACGGATGAGGAAACTCTGGGAGTTAGCAGGCTGCTCAGGTTTCTTAAACGAGTAAACAGCCGTGGAGTCCGTGCCGCTTTGGAGCCAGCCATCGGACAGGACAGAGCTGCTCCTGTGTGTTTCTCAGACTGACCACATGAGCGGAAAGCCCCGTATTTCTCCCGCAGAGCGGCTGATGCCTTTGAACTGCTGACCTTGCAGTTCGCAGCCCAGTACATAACCCGTACGCCAGCAGGGCTCCTTATGGGCAACCCTGTCTTGGGTTTCTGAGGTGGACAGTCTTTATGGGAGCAGACAGCTTCATCTGGTGGATTTGAACTGCTGCCCTTGAGGTTAGAAGTCCAGCACCCAGTGTCACTGGTGCTCCTGTTGTAAGTGGCAGAGCCACCAATACGTAGGAACCAGATTTCATGAATCCACACGGTGTGACATTCCTTCTGTGGCCGGTCCTGTGCGGGGTGTACTGGCCCAAGGACAGAGAAAGGGGACAGAGGGTCCTTGGCCAGCCCCCCAGATGCCCTGGTGTCCGGAAGAACAGTGACACACGGTGACCCTTGCTGATCTTGGGAACTGGCACCTGTTTTCCTCTGGCTTCTCTCCCAGGAGGTGAAGATCGACAAGAACCTGGAGCCCGGACTCCGGGTGACCGTGCGATTGCACCCGCAGCAGCTCCCAGGTATGTGGAAGCACGCCGAGCCCCTGTACGTGGCCTGGTTGGCTTGAGGGCTCAGCCAGCTCCTTCCGCTGCGGCTGCCCCTCAGCCCAGTCTTCACAGAGGCCTGGCTTCCCTTCCAGAAAGCAAGACGTACCGAGGAAAAGTTGTATCGTCGCAGGACCCTCGTTCCAAAGCTGGTCTCTACTGGGGCTACACTGTCCGCCTGGCCTCCTGCCTCAGTAAGCTTCCTCCCGTGACTCCCTGCCACCTCTTGGGAGGCAGCAGGGAGCCTTGCTCGTTCATGCCCACTCTGGAGACTTTCCGTCTCTGGACCAGGCCTCTGTGTTCTGGTGGTCAGTGCCCTGCCCGGAGTGTCTAAGTGTTAAGGATGTCTAAGGAAAAGTGCATGTCTCTTGTGAGGTTGGGAATGGGAACAATGGGCCAGGCCGGCCCACTCCTGGCTCCTGAGCCCTTTCCCACCCTCACCCTCTGCAGCTGGGCCTCTGCCCTGCCTTCCCAGGAACAGCAGAGTTCTGCTGGCCCCTGCTGGAGCCCCCTTCTGCACCCCTCCCCAGTTGCTCTCCACTCCCAGCTGGGGGCAGTGGCTGGTACGGAGCAGGCCCCCACTGAGGTGCCCCCCCCCCCAGGTGCTGTGTTTGCCGAGGCCCCCTTCAAGGACGGGTATGACCTGACCATCGGGACGTCGGAGCGAGGTGCAGATGTGGCCTCTGCCCAGCTCCCCAGCTTCCGGTTAGCACAGCCCAGGGGAGGGAGAGCTGGGGAGGCCTCCCTGCGGGGAGGGGCTCTGGGGGCTGTTCAGCGGGGTCTTCAACAGTCACCTCCCTGCCTCCTGTGGGGCCCAGGCACGCCCTCGTGGTGTTCGGGGGGCTCCAAGGTCTAGAAGCTGGAGTGGATGCAGACCCCAACCTGGAGGTGGCTGAGCCCAGTGTCCTCTTCGACCTGTACATCAACACCTGCCCGAGCCAGGGCAGCCGCTCCATCCGCACCGAGGTGAGTGAGCCTGCCTCCAGTCCCAGGCTCTCCCAAGGGTCAACCCCCTGCAGTGGGTGCCGGCAGCCAGTGGCATGCCTTAGAATCTGTCCATGGGGTTGAGCCTCCACCTGTCTCCTCCCTCCCCAAAGCCTCCTGCCTCCTGCAAAGTCCCCCTCCTGCCTCACACAAGTGACCGGGAGTCAGAAATCTAGCTCTTAGTGCCAGCCCTGTTGCCTGGCTGGTGGTGACCCGGGAGACCCTGCCCAGATTAGCTTTGAACCTCAATTTCCTTAGCTGCCATTCAGTTTCTCAGTGACTCCAGTTCTGCCACTTTCCATGTCTGACAGCAGGTCAGGCCGCTCTCCCCTCAGCCTGTGTCTCTATTCAGGGAGCACTGTGCCTCTAGCTGAGTGCCTGGGAACCTGAGACCCCCACTCTGAGGTCGGCACAGAGGCTGTGACTGTGGGCACTGGGCTAGTGGAGACACTAACTGGTGACCAACTGGTAGCCAGCTGTCTGCCTCATCCCGGAAGGCCCTGCCAGCACATCTCCCAACAAATGCCAACTCCAAGCCTTCAAGGCCTGCTAGCAGGCTGAGAACCCGCCTGCGGGAAGCGTGACTCTGGGGGGTCGATGTATTCAGGACATCTCATTTGGCAGAGGCAAAGGCTAAGCAACGGGTGAAGAGGCCTTGGCATGTGGCTAGCCTGGGCCTGTACCCTTAACTTCCATAGCGGAGGAGGGCACAGGCCCAAGGAGCTAAGTCCTAGGGCCGGCTGGGAGCTGAAGGCCCAGCCTCGCAGGCCCAGCCATGGCCGGACTCTCTTCCAGGAAGCCATCCTCATCTCGCTGGCGGCCTTGCAGTCTGGCCTCTCGCAGGCGGGTGCCCGGCCAGGTTGAAGAGTCTGTCAAGGTGGCGAAGAAGCCACAAGGAAGCCGGAGTGCGTGCGGGCCGCTTGGGACATATACAGCCAAGGCTCATCTTCAAAAATAACCACTTTTAATTAATTCAACCGTGCCCCATAACCCCTCAGTCTCGTTTTCCCCTTTGGCACTGCCCTCACTTGCTGCCAGCAGTGATGGCCTTGAGGCTGCCTCCCCGTGCCAAGATGTTGGGCACGAAGAGCAGCCCTGAGGCCCGTTCGATGCTCTCGATGGGCACCAGGAAGCGCTCCAGCGGGGTGGTCTCATCTACCGGCGCGTTCGGCATCACGTAGGATCTGAGCTCAATTTGCCCTCCTGCTGCCTCCAGGATCAGCACCTTGAAGAAGTGTGTGGGCACCGCCACGTGGTTCTTGCCAATGACCTGGTACTTCACGTAGGACTTCCCATCAGCCTCCATCCTGTGGGCAGACCCAGACACACAGGTCCTTGCAGGGCTCCTGAGGGGACTGGGACCTGATTGGACAGGCCACTGCCTCCAGGCAGCCTTCTCTGATCCAACCTTACTGGTGCCACCCTCTCAAGGCTGAGACCAGTGGCTCTGAGGTAGACGCACCTTTAGCCTGCGTTTTCTCCGGCCAGACTCTGGGTCAGGAGCCGGAGACAATAAATACTGCTAAAAAATCAAGCCTTCAGATCACTCATTCCTCCCAGTGGGCATTTGACCACTCAGTCTCCCCTGTGGGACATGGGCACCAAGTAGCAAGGCCTGTGGTGGCTGAAATCCGAGTACCGGTCATGGGGTCTGGCATTTAACAGGTGCCCCAAACATCAGGTTAACGGTGCCGGGCCTCTCGGCAGTTCACTCCACCTCAGCAAGACATAGGAGGCACTCACTACTGAATGCTTACCAGTGACCCAGTCATTGGTGCTGACTGAGCCAGGCCCTGCATCAAGCAGCTGATGTCCACCATCCCCTTAAGTGTAACAGTGTTGCCTCCATTTCACAGGAGAGGCCATTGAGTCCTTGCCCACTGTGGCTTCACGGCAGGGCCTGTGGGCTCTCCAGCTGCTCAGCTCCAGCCCTGGCCTCCCTCATCCCGTCCATCCTCAGGGGTCAGGAGAACCAAAGTGTGCACCTGGGAGGCAGGGCTGCAAAGGACAAGTGACAGACAACTCCAGCCTACATGGACTCTGATTGAAGAGTGCTGAGCTGAAGCATGGGCTGGGCAGTTGTGGGAGGAAGAGGGGCATGGGTGTGTCCTTGGGCAGAGAATGATGGGAGTGTCCAAAAGGCCTCTGGCTGTGAATGGGCATCCCGGCTCCCCCTCCCCCCCCCTCCAGACGGGTACAGTTGTGTCAAACCAGATGATTAATGACGAAGTGGTGTTGTGTGACCCAAAGCCTAGGGCAAGCTGCCCAGGAGAAGCGGCAGACAAGGGTCTGCAGGTGAGAGGCAGGCCCTGCTGATCCCCAACTCCTCACCTGGGCAAGAAGAGTGGCCCTGTGCAGACATAGACGTTTTGGTAGGTGCGAGTCAAGCTGCGGCTGTACTTCTCCAGGTTGTTCCAGGCATTCTGGTTGAGGTGGGGCACCTGGGGGGTGAGGTGTGCCTCAGTGAGGCCAGAGTGGAGGCTGCCCCAGGCCCTGAGGCTGGGCACTGACCAAGTAGGGCCAATCAGGAAGAGAATCAAGAGAAGTGCTGGTATCCCACGTGGCCTCGAGGGCAGCCTGGGGAGCGTGGCTGGGTGGCACTCACCACCACGCCATCTAGGATGGACAGACCAGCACCCACAATTTAAGCCTTCCTTCCAGAGGGAAACCTAAGGCCTGGCCCCTGGAGGGGCAGTGGGAAGACCAGCTCTCCCCACGCCCCTCTTTTCCTTCACTCCCGTTCTCCATTAATTCAGAGCCCAGCTGGGCATCGGTAACTGTGCTACTGCCTCCACTCGGCTCTGGCCTCACTGGGGCGGGCTGGGCCACTAGCACCACACTCTTGTCAAGCTGTCGCCTTGTCCTCTATAGTTCCATCCACCAGGTCCTGCTGGCTGTGGGGCCAGTGGTAGGACGGCTTGCTAAGGGTGTCCTAACAGCCTGACTGCAGCAGGCAGGACAGGGCAATGGGGGGAGAATCGAGCTTCCCTACTCTCCCGCGGAGGCTCACTGTGCGCCACATGGTACCTCTCTGAGCCTCCGGGTCCTCGTTCTAGTCAACAGCCCCTCTTCATAGCACGATGTGTTACATGTGCACCAGGTGTGTTACAGGTGCGTGCATGGCGCCCTCCTCAGAGGCAGTTTTCCCGCTGTGACCGCGCTGCGGCCCGGGCACGCGGCGCGTCCCCAGCTCTCCCACCTTCCTCCTCGGACGCCATGGGCGCTAC